TGCTGTTCGCAAATTAATCAACAGTGGGAAACGTACGGTTCACACCGCCATATCATTCTTTATGTCAGTATAATTTTCACGTTAAACATATGTGCGTTAATACAATATGTATGATACGGTGTGCAGAATACCGAATATATACCGTATGTGTAATACGATAATAATACATTATTCATACTGTAAAGATACTGATCGCAAAATACGGTTATACCGTATGATAACAGTATGTATATTTTTTTATAGGGTTTGCATTGCCGATTGTAAGCCGTCTGCTGTCTCTTAGCAGTGGTTTCTTTCTTTTTCTCCTTAGTCTTCTTCTTGATCATCCAGTCTACTCCAGTAAAAGTATTCTTATGCATACCACAAATTGTGCAGTCACCATGCAGCCGGTAACGCCCATTTGTAGTCATATCTTGTATTTCACTAGCCGTCTCAGTTTCCTTCTTGCACTTTAGGCAGTAAAAACGTGTCATCTTAAGATTTGAAGTCTAAAACCATTCCTTTAATTTGTCGTAATATGTCACACTTAGAGAATTACTATAAGTACTACAATCTCTCCGGAGTATCAGCACGAATTCTAAAAGGTGAAGAGCACTACAACCTATACAAAAAGCCCCTAAAGGAAAAGTCAACAGAACGCCCAAAGGTAATTGTATGGAAACCAAATGCAACACATCAGGCAGATCTTGTAGAGATGCCAGTTGACCCCAAAGGATTCCACTATTTTCTCATAGTGGTGGAAGTTGCAGGAAAGAGAGTCGATGCAGAACCCCTAAAGGATAAGACTGCAAATAAAATCCTAAACGGGTTTGTTAAAATCTACAGAAGAAATCGTATCAAGCCTTCAACACACCGACTGGAGATGGACTCCAGATCAGAATTCACTAACGACCAAGTACGTGATTTTTTCCTGAACAGCTTAGGGGTGATGATGAGGTATGGAGAGCCGGGAAGACATAAACAGCAGTCATATGCCGAACGAGCTATCCAAGCCATCCAAGAACCCCTTCTGAAACGAATGGTAGCACAGGAGTTGAAAACTGGGGTGACATCCGTGAAATGGTCAGAAGATTTCCATAATATAGTGAGTAAAGTAAATGAACTCTGGCAGAGAAATCCCCCAGACATTCCGACAGGGTCACCCAAAGTGTCAAAAAAGACAGACCTCCTCTCTGAAGGAACACGTGTCAGAGTCAAGTTAGATGAACCTATTTCTGTACTTGGTAACAAACTTCACGGAAAATTCTGTACAGGAGACATAAGATGGAATCCAAACATACGTGTTATCAAAAAAATGATACTCTCACCTGAACAACCTCCTACATATCTTCTTAACGGACCACATGGTCGATTAGGTGTATCCAGATGTGCATATATCCAAAAGGAATTGCAAGTAGTTCCTATTAATGAACGTCCTCCACCTGATTCTGTGATAAGAGGACAACCTGAAAGATTTGTTCCTGAGCAGATACTTCAACATCACATTAGAAAAGGTCAAGACCAGTATTTGGTTAAGTGGGAGCGCTATTCAGACACTGAGGCTACTTGGGAACCTGCTGACCGGTTGAAGGAGGATGTCCCTGACTTAATTCGCAAATTTTGGAAATAAAAAAAATAGAAGAATTAAAGGGCCTTATTTTTTGTCTCCTCGATTCACGTCAGAAACTATCAGGATAAAAACATTCTTCTCATCACAGGTAAGGGCTATATGTTCACGTGATTCATGAACATCATAATTGTAACGTTTCAGACACGTTCGGCTCAATCCAATTTCCCTATGCTTGTAATTACTTAAGACTGCAAGATCCTCAGTGATAGCATAATCAGGGGTAAGTTTGATTGACACTCCCTTTACCATGCTGAATGTCCTACCTGTTCCTGGAGCACCAGATATGTTGTATGTAATACTCTTGTCGATATCCAACCCTAATTCCTCAGCAGCTTCTCTCTGAATAAATGACGTATTAGCACAAGTGTCTGCTAAACACTGAATTGCTATCCCATTAACCTCCCCATCCAGTGCTAAAAGATCTTTAGTATTCTCCAAACGAGCTATGTCAATATCCATAGGATCGTCTACCCTGATATCCTCTTCTTGTTCCTCCTCAACTAGGTCTTCTGGAATCTCTGTGACTTTTCTAGCAGACAATAACTCTTCCTGAAGAATCTCACAGAGTAATTTCCTAAAGTCTGCAGACCTTAACAGGCTTAATAAGTCATTCTTAGTAACAGCTTTTGCAGGTGTAGACTTACTACCAGTAACTTTCACAGGAATCTTAACAGGGGTTGCTTTGCCTTTCAAGGGCACACTAGAAGAGCTAACTGCTGTCTTATTTGGAGACAACTTAAAAAGTTTTGAGATACTCGAACCTACTTTTTTTTTGACCCAACACGAACCATATAGACATCACCATCTTTTTCTCTCAATTCTACCTTTTCACCAAAACTCATAGTATCAATGTCCATAGCATCATCGTTAAGATCGAGGTTTCTCATTGCTCGGGCCAAATCCAGATCATTATGTCTATCTTTAGTCTTTTGAAGTTGTTTTGTAAGTATTTTAGACGTCCCACGTTTATATCCCATAATAAGATCAATAGCATTTTGATAATCATCCAAAGTCCAAGCAGGAGCATCAGGATCATCACCAACATCAGGTTCTACATAACTATCATCCCAATCAGGATCCTAATGATCCTGAATAACATGTCTCTGTGGTTTTGGTCGAACAGGTTTAATCTGCTGTCTATAGACTGGTGGATTACGAACTGGCCGAGCCTGTAATTGTTTAAATTGCACCTGGAAATTCTTGGTAAGTTCTTCAGCCTGAGCCTTAAGCAACTCTTGTAATTGTTCTTGAGTAACCCCAGATGACTTTGATGTCAGTACGACAGGTTCCTGTTTTCCTAACGGAGGTTGAGTTACATCACTGTAATCTGCTTGAAGTCGTCGATTTCTATCTTGTAACCCCAAGCGCATTTCAGCCCTTCTCCGTTCTAAATTTCTCAGATGTTTAACCAAGTCATCAGGATTAAGATTACTAAACCTTTCTGCTTCAAAAATATTATCAGCCGAAAGACCTCTAAAGAACTGGTCGATAATAAGATCATCAGTTAGTTTTAGTAATTTTCCAGCCCTCTTTACAGTTCTATAAAATGCATCAACTGGCTCATTTTCCTGATAAAGACTGTTAAAACGGATACGTTTCTTTTCATCTAAAATAGTTGGAAATTGTGTTCTAAGCCAATAAAGCGCCTGGTTAGGTTTAATACCTGGAAAAACTATAGAACGATTATTATTAGCAGCAACACCAGCATCTGCAGTAGCTGGAGCCGCTCTATCTGTCGGACGAGCACCAGCTCTTCCCCAAGCTTTATCTCCACCTATTAAATCATGGGTAGGAATAAATGCTGCTCTAATAGTTACTAATGCATTAGCTGCATCTGTAGCATAAACATGTGCTTCAGACCCATTTACATAGGTACCTGCATTTGGTCCTCCTGCACCTTCTGGTATTACTAATGCTACAAAAGCAGCTAAATTAGCTCCACCTCTTGAAGTGATACCAGAAAGTTCCCAATTTTTTCCTGTAATTTCTCGATCAAACCATTCAGCCGCTTCACCAGCCATGCAGCTTCTAAGTATACCCATAGCTCTTTTCCAAGACTCTGGTGGCCCTCCAGCAGCGTATGGGTTAAGATTAATAGTATCAAGATAACCCATATAAAGCCTAACAAATGTATCAATATCATCAGTAGCTTTACCCTCAAAAATCGGCAATCCTATCGCAGTGGTAGCCATATCGTCTCTAGTGGATTGTTTAAAAGAGGTGGAGGAGGGTTCAATTGTCTAATTCGAAACCATTGTACCTGAATTCTAAGAGCAGCTATCTGTTGGAAAAGTCTATTCCTAAGTCTCCCTAATGTCTGAATCCCAAAACGCACCCTATTATTAGCATGTGCTAGCTGTGCATTAACCTGTCCAAGTTGCGCATTAACCAATACAAGTTGTCCTCCAGTCCGAGTAGCCCTCAGCCGCCAATGATTTAAAAGGATATTACCACGATTCACAGCATTTTGAGCCTCATTACGATCCCTTACTGCTTGAGTATAATCTGCTTGTAATACATTACGTTCATGTCGTGCCTGATTACGTTCACCTATAGCCCGTCGACGAAGCTCTACCATAGTATCATAATCTCTTTGCAGGTTATGGTTTTCTTCTATGAAATTATCATTGGCAGCACGTATAATAACTAATTGACGTTCTAAATTAGTAAACGTTTCATCAAATGCATTTATCTTACCTTGTGCAAAAACTAACAAATCTTTTGTAATACCAAGTTCTTCATGTTTTGCTTTACAGCGATACATTAATATATTAATAATATGTTTGATTTGATTATTTGCCTCCTGTATCTCTGAATCAACAGTTAAACGACCCCTGGTAGTCAATAAATTTGCATGAGCCTTTAGTATTCTAACTAATTCATCATCGTCTTTTTCATTGACCAAGTGTGCAGGAGGCGGTCCAGTAGGTTCTGAAGGAGTATAAACTGGAATTGGTGTTGATGTCGACATAGTATTTAAACTAAGTTAGAATAAAATTCAAATGGATCTTTATGTATACAATTTGGACGAGTACACGACCGACTCAAGACAAGGCAATGAGTTTGCTCCATCATGGCCCTTTCGATTAGCCGTAGCAGGTAGCTCAGACTCAGGTAAGACAACTATGATCATTAATTTGTTAATGGGTGACAAGAAAGCAAAGGAGGATGGTAATCGGTATGTACTATGTGATGCAGTACTTTTAGTTGGCAGATATCTTGACGAGCCGAAGTGGGCAGTTGTACATGATTTTTTCGAAGAGGAGAAGATCCCATTCACTGCAGTAACCCATAGTGAGATTCCAGAGATTGACTCCTTCGACCCTACTCAAGCTACTGTGGTAATCTTCGAGGATCTGATGGATGCACCTAAAAAAATCCAGGATCTCATCACTGGTTACTTTACACATGGACGACACAAAAATATTTCATGTATTTATGTAGCCCAAAGATTCTTTGCCATTCCTAAGGCTATTCGAGAAAATGTTAACTACATCTCACTGCATGGAGGTCATGGGAGCCTTACAGATACCAAGAGAATCATCCGCCTATATACAGAAGAATCAGAGTCATTAGCACCAGTAATTGATGATCTTACTCTGCAACGTGAATTTGTAGTGTTTGATCTTAGACGGTCCAAAAGTGATCCACTGTCCATTCGAGTAAGATGGGATACTAGTCTCAGTTCGATCACAGAGCAATCTCAGTTCAATCCTAGTTCGATCTCAGTTCAATCTCAGTTTGATCCAAGTTTGAACCCAGTTCGATCTCAGTCTGAACCCAGTTCAATCACAGTTCGATCCAAGTTTAGTCCCTATGGTCAGAAAGCTGTATCTGAAGCAAAAAAAGGTGGACACTTGATTGAATTTGCTTGGGTATTTCCATCCCCTAAAGAACGTAAACATTTACTTGTACCTGGTGTCTTAGTCAAGAATACAGATACCTGGATTAAATATGTCTTTCGGGAAGCTTATGGACTCTCTGGTAAGACCCTAGGTGCTGACTTTCAGGACTTCTTAGCCAAAGTACAGGGTAAGACTGCAAAGACTGAAACTCTGAAAACTGAGAATGTGAAGGAGTTATTCTCCCGATATGAAGCCCTGAAGTCTAGTTGCCCTCTGGATAATAAAAAAATAATAGAAGGTATTGAAGTCCTTCTACAGATCTTTTCTAAGGGCCACATGGACCGTCAAGCATTACAAGTAGGGATTAATAGTATCTTGTAAGAATATCAAGTAATTCGTCTGCAGAAACTTTAAAAATCATAGCACTTTTTTTACGGCCTTCAAAGTCAATCCTTAACATCTTAGCCTTTAACCCTATTGCTCCTAAGGCATGAGAAGCAAAGTTCTTAGTCATTGGATTACTTATATGATTTACATAGTTCTCATAGAATGTAGTGAAAGGCTCGTCAATACCATCTGGATATGTATCCCTTAGAAATTGATATAAAGCAATTTCTCCACTGTCACAACCTATGGCTATAAGCTGTTCGAGAAGCTACTTCCTAATATCTTCATATGGCTCTCCGTCCATACTTTTCATATCCAGTCTTTGTGTAAATAATTGTGTAAAGTCCACATTACTTCCCCGATGAATGATCTGAACTAACTTATCCTTAGCAAGTCCCAAGGCTTGTAGAGGGTCATTCTCATCACTAATCTTCTTTATAATCTGTCTGTATAATACACTGGATAATCCTCTATGTGCTGTTTTTGGAGTGATTACTCTACAGTTTTGGCACTGGTTTATTACGATTGATGTTGACATGGCTATCTTTCTTTATGTAAAAAAGAATTATTCAAAATTAAGTAACTATTCGGAGCAGTCCTTGCACAACTTGTCCGTTAAGTCATTTGGGCTTACAGGCATGAGACATTCCCTACACAACTCAATATTAAGCTCTGCAAGTCTCAGGGTATGGTCCTCCAAAGTTCGTGGATGACCGGAAGGACCGGAGGAAGGTGTCCCGTTAGTCGTATCCTGCTGTAAGATAAAATCATCATATTCATCTTGGTCAGCCTGAATAGCTGTCCTGATTTGTTGTATATCATTGAAAGTTAACCGCTGCCCATCAAGATTTTCCTCATTATAGCGTGTTTCATTGATGATTTCCTCTATAAGCGCCTCTTCTTCATAATGGACAAGGTAGTAATCCTCAACTACCTCATAGTCACTCTCAATTAGTCTATGATATGTTCTAGTACCACGTCGAACATAACGTCCTGTATCTGTATTTAAATATACAGGTTGCTCTTCAAGTGGAGGTGCAGTTTGTCTACGGACAAGCCTTCCATCAATATAATCATGAGATTCCATAACTATTCGATAAAAGGTATCTCCACCGATAATAATTGGACGTCCAGTTATAGGGTTAGCTATATAAGGGTAAGACATGTCTTTTTTCTGTACGTGTCTACATACCTAATAGTTTTCTTCAATTTACAATAACCAAGTGACACGGTCATCAGTCCTTATCAAAAAATACGAGAATACCTGATGATAAGGTTACATGTTCATCAGTCCTTGTCGAAAAATACAAGAATACCTGATGATGAGGTTGCATGGTCATCAGTCCTTGTCAAAAAATACGAGGATGCCTGATGACGAGGTTACATGGTCATCAGTCCTTGTCGAGAAATATGAGGATACCCGATAAATAAGCTACTCCTGTTGAGTCCATTCATTCCACTCCCAGTCCAATCCCCAAGGATCGCCTCCACATCTTTGTTTACTTAATGCATACTCTATGGTTTCCCTTTCCTGAAGGTCCACGACCATCCCATTCCTAAGCATTTTCTCCATAATATAAAGCTGATCCTCGGTGAGGCAGTTTATCCAGTTTTTATAGGAGTCGTTTACATCTTCAAAAGTTATCCACTCAATATCCCCCTTTTCAAACCACTTTCCAAGAGCCTGGATTTCCCAGTATATATTCCCAATTGCAGTAGCATAATCTTTCCACCTCTTATATGCCTCTTGACGAACTTCCTGCCACCACACTCTATCTACCTTACTTACTGCAATAAGGTCAGTATCCGGGATCTTTGCGACAATGCGTTCGACTATTTCTACTGGTAATCGGTCCAACATGATGTTATGTTACTTATACTATAGCTATCTTCAATTACTGTATGCCCATTACACATGGATAAAAAATATAAACTAAATTCATACATGAGCCGCTTATGCAAGAAGTTCTGCTAAGGTTTTTTCAGCCTCATTCATAGTGACAGCTCGCTTTGGGGGACCTGTTGATGAGTCCTTAGTCACATTATAATACAACTCAAAGAGGGTCTCAAGTTTGTCTAGAAGAGCTTGTTTATTCTTGTATGATTCACGAATCTTTGCTATCTTAGCAGTATATGCTGCATTATCTGGGAAGAGTTTTCTGGCCACGAACTTCACATATGATACAGGAGACTTTGCTGTCTGGATTCTCTTGATATACTTCACATGATCCTGGACAAGGTAGCTGGTTTTGCTAAACCCAGATACTAATGCGACTACTATAGTGTCTTTCAATGCACGGATAATCTTGAGGACAGTTTCATCAGAGACAATGGTGAACTGATTGTGTGATGCATCATAAATAACTTTATCACTAATGCTGTCAGTGCTGTTAATAATGCTTGCTAATTCGGTATATGTTGACATGATTCCTTATACTTTTTTGTACTTTGTAATAAATAGGAATCTTCAAATTGACTTTACATTCAAGCAAGAAAAAATATATATACCTACTGTAAATCCAACCGCATTCTTGGCAATCATGTCCAGATAACCTTGTTTGCATTTTTCACATGGCAGTATCCTGCGGTTTCAAACTTGATAGCTTTCAATGCTTTGGATGCATTTTCTGGACAAGTGATAAGTGTAGGACTACTTGGCTGTTCCTCTAGAATAAATCCATCTGTATGAATGCATCGTACTTTATCCTTATATGGTTCTAATAACTCTGAAGTCATCTTCCGTCCATGTGCTAATAAGAATGGAGCGATCCTAGGATACTCACCCTTGAAGGGACTACCTGGGTTTGTGAACTGGAATCGCCACTGGTCAGATCCTACTGGTATGATGGAGTCAAGTGTGTGGTCTTCTGGAAACTTGAATGGATCTGTTTGATCTGTGGTGAGTGTCTTGTAATTGCGTTTCCTCTGGCAGAGTGCTCCCCATAGTGTATTGAGAACTCTCTTTGCAACATGACCGGCCACGCCACCCTGGTTCTTTACATTGAAGAGAAAGTGGACATTCTCACCAAATATTACAGTCCCAGGAATTCTTGCTTCTCTGTCATATATCAAGGCATTTGGCTTTCCATCCTGGATTAACTGTATATCGAGACCAAGTTTCTTTGCTCGTTGTAAGTCAATGAATGTATAGACTCCCCTCTTATTCTGTCAGAAGAGAATGTCATTACCACTTACCTTAGCACGAAATAATCCATACAAGACATAATCTCTGTGGTCTACAAAGTCTTTGAGTATTTGAAACTTACCTTGTCGGATTGGAAAGTTTGCATTTGATTGCTGGATACTTGGATATAAACTTGTCACGTCGTATTGCCTTCCATAACCCTTCCATTCATTGTCTGCCCAGATAAGACCTCCTATTATAGCATCATTTATCCACTCTGCTTCTATAGGGTCAAGAGGATCATTGGCTGGAACCCCTACACTAAACCGTTCAAAAAGCTAGAGAGCAGTTCTCTTGTATGACCAGTTGTAGTAAGATAAGTCGATTCCTAGACCGAACTTCTTTGTAGCCTGTAGGAAGGAATCCCGCTCTTCATGGATCGTCCTCTGGTATGTTTCCTCAAGTGTTTCATATATTCCAGTTTTACAATTCTTCTCGATAGGGATGAAGGAGTAACTATCAGAGTTCTTACCTTTCTGAAACTGTCCAACTGTAAGAGACTTAACTGTCTTACCATTGTATATTGCTACTACATTATTAACCCCATCTTCATGATAAACAAAGGGAGACTTTTGTTTTCTATCTAATTTGCTAGGGTGGAGTCTTCCGGGATTCAGTGCAAGAGAGTAGTGGCCTTCAGACAGGATAAGTTTTGCACGTCTGTCAGATTTGCTTTTGGAAATTCGAGTGGAATCCCCTACAATATTAAGTGCAAGGCTTCCTGCAAGTTGTTCAACCTTATCCATATATGAGACTGGAACTGGAGCATCACGATTGAGACCTAATGCCTTTTTGATATATTCTGGCTTTTTTATAGTCTTGGGTATTTTAGAGAATATACCATAGATATGCTTCAGGCATTCATACAGGCAATCATTTAGCTCCCCATTGCATCCCCCCTGCAACCGGTAGAGCATCTCTCACATAAATTATGAATCGTTCAAAGTAATCAGGATCTGCATTATCCGGTAGTTGTGCTTCATCATAGTGGTCCAAGAGTGAGAAGAGGCTGGCTGGTTGGTTTCCTGATGTCCATCCACCTGGTTTCCAGTTTTCATAGGGGAGCAGGATCTGAAATTTATGAGTTGGATACCGGGATTGGAGTTGCTGTCCAAGTCTGGCAATAGCTCCTCTAGAAAATCTTGCGCCTGAATACTGTAGTTCTTTGATATCTGGTCTTGTAGGTAAAGCACGTGCAATTTTTGAATAGGCCATTTGATATAACTATGAATTGTATTCAATTGTAATATAGGTTTTTTATATAAAAAATATAAGATAACTAAGAGGCGCTTATCTTATTAAAAGGAGTCAATCATATCACAGGCCTCATCAATATCCAGCTCATCTACAAATCCATTAGCGGCCTCCCAATGGCGTTCCATCTCGGTCTTTGGACGCTCCTCTGGGATTTCTCGTGCTTTACCCTTATTCATCTTCATAGTTTCATAACCAGAAGTGGTAGGGATAATCTCGGCATCATGATCCTCCTTATATGCTCTTATTAGATCTGCAAGCTCTTTACGACCGGGTGTTTTAGGTAAGTCCCCATTATATTCTATCCAGTCCTTGAAGCGCTCTACTACCTCCCTAAGGTAGTACTGGTACTTATCCTCAATACGCATTGTGGGACATTCCTCTACTTCAAACACAAGCATGTCCCAATCATATTCGTCTGATGTGTCTTGGTACTTAGCCCATAATTCCTTACCTGTATTATAGAGATCATTGAAGACCTGGTCCTTTGAATTCTTGACCCATGGCTTACAATCCCATCGGCGCCTTTCATGCCAAGCCCAGTGTGCTTGAGTACCTTCCTTTGGTTCAGGGTCCTGGTCGACTTCTAGTTCTGTGTCGGGTTCTAGGATAGGTTGCTCTTTGAGAGTCAGTTCTACTACAGGTTCTGTAGAAGATTTGGAATCTGCGAGGGATTCAGATTTTGCAGAAGATTCTGCAGGTGACTCAGATTGTTGCTCAAGAACTGGGTTAGCGGTTGTAGAATCTGAGTCAGATAGCAAGTCATCTAAAACGTCATAATCATCAACAGCTTTAAATGCAGGTTCCTCAGCAGGCGGCTCATCTTCTTGATCAGGTTCCTCATCAGATAGATAACAGTCTGAGAAACTGTCTATAATTTCATCAGTATCTGACTCTATGGGAGCTGGAGATTTCTCAGGAATAGGATCCTCATTGATGACAGGTGTGGGTTTTACCTTCAAGGAATCAGGTTTGGGTGGTACTGGTGGTGAAGTCTTTTTGGGAACTACAAGTGCAGATTTCTCTTCAGTAGGCTTTTTCTCGACAGGAGTGGGTTTTTCCTCAGCAGGTTTCTCTTGTACGTCTTGTGGATTATTAGCAGGAATGCTATATATATTTGCCAAGAACTTTTCTAAGGCTTTTTTATCAGATGCTGGCTTCTCAGGAGTTTCTACATCTATTCCTTCTATATTGATTTCATCTGTTTCGTGGATCCATTTTTTGGTGAGAAACTTCTTGTAAAGGTCCTCCCTGGATATGCTGTAAACTCGTGGTGTTGCCTTACCTACACGTATTTTTCTGCTATTTATACCCAACTCATTTAATAGGATTCTAGAAGCGTTTATCTTTGATAGGGGTGTAATGCAATAAGTTTCACAGTATGAAGTATATACCCTATAAAATTCTTGAACAGGTAGGTCTGTTATATGATTTTTTACTATGAGGTAATTGTCCTTTATGAATTGAAATAGGGGTGGGAGAGTTGATATGATGTGATCCTGCTTAGATGTTGTCATAGGTGGTGGATTCCCATTGAAGTCTGGGTAAGCGTCTGCAATGGCTCTCAAGTAAGCATAGAATGCCTTACTGGCGCCTGGGTATTTCATAGCGTCACTGAGTTTCTTAAAGTAGTTGAGGTCTCCCTTGCGGGATGGTGACACATCCAAGAATACTGTGCGCCTATCATCATTCTCCACTCTGAGAGCATTTTCATTGGTGAGTACAATGGTGGATATAAAGTTTTTGTAATGTGTTGGCGTCTTGTATTTTTCATGGATTTCCATTATGTCGCCTGTTACCTTATCCTTCAACGATCGATACAGATTATTCCACTGGCTTTTTTCTGTAGGCATTTCCTCAAGGAGAAGAAGAACCTTACCCTGTAATTGCCCATTGAAACTTCCAAGAATCGTTTGAGGATCGCTGGTCTTATAAACAAGTTGAGTACCTAATACATTACGTTGAATGAAATCTGTTATAATACTCTTACCCCAACCCTGTCCGGATTTCAGGTAGAGAATCGAATACATTTTCCTTCCAGAAGACATACCGGCCAACCACTTTATGATATACTCAGTAAGATTCCAATCGCCTGAACACCAGATATCCTGAATGTGAGAGAAGATAAATTTAACCGCGAGGTGGGTTGTAGATTCAAAAGTGGATATCGGACGCAGGATATGGAGTAATCCTTGTAAGATATTGAGATAAATTTGGCCACCTAGTTTAAAGATACGGGATTTTTGAGGGTCACAGGTAGCTACACATACAGTACTATATTCGATCATAAACCATTTGTTGATATTGAATTCAACCTTTTGTGATGGACCTTGTTCTGATTGTGTGTAAAAGACTTTGGTAATTGGACGGATAAGTTTACTAATATTTTTATCGGGGATGTGCTCGAGGTTTTTGATTTCTGACCGCCACATGAAGACTCCATGCGGGTTGGAGCAGGGGATAAAGTAACTGCAAAGATAATCTTTAGCTTGATTGAGATCTCTCATATTCTTTGCAGCGTTAATGAGCCGTTTAAGCTCATCAATACTAAAAGCCTTTTTCTGTTCACCGAACTTGGGGATAACTTGAGCTTGAGTGCTAGTTTGGGCAGTCATTTTTTGTTCTATTAAATCGAATACTAATTTATAGTTACCTAATCTTCAATTGCCGAATATATTTTTTCCAAAGATCCACACTCCTACCCAGTTATCCTCCTGTAGTCCTGTGGTCCTGTGGTCCTGCGATTCTCTGGTCATACCTGGTTATCTTCTAGGGGTAAAAAAAACTATAAACCACAAACCTTTACGACTGCTCTAAATCTTCCCTTCCCCTTTTCAATCCACATATATCTAGTAAAATCCACACCGCTCAAGAGCCCACCTTACCATACCATGCTCTTTTCTAGCTTCTGATAACTCTTTACAAGCCTTTTGATACTCCTTCCAATTAAGCTCATGAAGTTCACGATTTCCAATACCCTCCTCCTCAAATGATTGACCAAGATCATCCTCCGCTTTTTTCTTCTTTTCTACTGCCCTGTCGTATGCCTTCTCGGCTTTCTCATGCCGCTTCCACAACTCAGCTTTACAACAGTTGTACCAGAGTCTGTTTATCTTGAGATGCTTTCCGAATTCTTTGACTGGAAGGTTTCTGACCATTTCTCTTACTATGTCCGGGTCGTTGAGGGGCGATACCTGCATTTGGATCCATTTATGGATTCCATAGATGTCTACTAGATCGAGACCAAGATCTTCGGTAAGAGAAGTGGCTGCGTGTAAGTTCATCATTGTATGTTACTTATGGTATACCCATTGTTCAATTACTTATTTTTTCTGACGGGGTGGGACGGGGTTAGTCATACTGGTTCTATAGACCTTCTAGGGGCTTACCTGCTAACTTACCTGGTTTGCTGTCTCACTGCTTCCAACAGATGAATAGACGGAATTCTGACTTGTTTCAGATGTTCCGGATGTAGCAGATCTGGGGGGTAAAAATAAAACTTTTTCTGGGGGGATGTCCTCTCATATTTTTTCTGAAACATCTGCCACATCTGCCACATCCGGGACAACCCTCTCATTATATCCGTTTTTGCTTCCTTTTCTATTGTTTTCTAGTTATTTGGTATATATATTTGTTCCAGATGTTGTCCCAGATTGTGGCGGATATATGGGGATTCCTGAGTCCCGTAGGGGCCATATAGGTACTGCGAAGCCATGAGGCCGAGGTGGGTGGAGCGGTAGCGAGACCCACATCCAGCCTGATGACTTATATCCAAAAAATTTTTGTCATTCGTTTTTATTATTTTGTCGATTAATTCTATTTTATTGTTAAACGACTTGTCTTTTTTATCTTCTTTTGTATACGTTCGTAACCATTCGTTCTTTTTTATAATATTATTTAGAGTTTCGTACGGTTTAATATAGTCTTCTTCTTTTCTTCTATCTAAATTTCTACTGATATCATTTTCTATGTGTATTAGACATTCGTTACTACCCTTTTTTTTTACTAATGTTTCTATAACATCCTTGACATTTCTTCAATTGAGGCGAATTGTTTAAGTCATAACTATCTCCGACTAGTTCTAAATGTATTCCTATTCTTTTGTATTTCTTGCTCTGCGATTTTTTTTTATTAATACTAAATATCGGATATTCCCCGTAGTCGTTCCAAGTTATAATACTATTTTATCCGATTTTTCATCTTCATCGAATAGTTTATATGAATATTTTCTTTTTGTGCTTGTCCTATAAACTCGTTTCTTATTTTCCTTACTTGTCCACTTTCATCTGCTATTAATTTCGATTCTAATTTTTTAAACCATTTCGGCGTTTTACCTTTCGTGTTCTTTCCTCTTTCTTTACATAAATGCTTCCATTTTAGTAAAGTGATACTGTCTGCCTCTAGGATGTCTTCTAAAAACATTATATTTTTTGTTTTTCTTGATTGAGTACTTGTTATAAAATCCTTACGCTCCATTAGTTCAATTAGGTCAGTCTTTCCTCCTTTGATTCTGTGACTTTCTCTAAAGTCTTTTATTTCATGATTACATATTGCCTATGAAAAAAGTCTGTGTGATTTTTGTTGAAAAATCATTCAATTAAATTCACTACGATTTCTGTATATTTGACCATACAATAATTGTGCTAAAAATTGCAATAAGGCTGAACCAAATTAATTATCTGTTTTACATTACACTGTTTATGAAAGTTTAGAGGAGGGGGAAGGTCGAATAAAAAAAAAAAAAATTTAAATCCCGTGACTTTGTATAATAAAGTCACATGTAAACTTGAAATTTTATTAACGAAAAAAAATATTAAATGTTAACCATACTAAGACTATTACAATAAATCAACTAGTTAACATGATTTGTTTTTTGTTTTTTTCTATTAACCTTCTTTTCCAACCGTTTATAAAATGATTTCCCACTTTCATTACAAATATTACATAATGGATATATTAACTTGAATTTTTCCTGTAGATTTTTAGGCACAATTTTAAAATCACTATTTGCACCACACCAATAGCAGATTGGAATATTTCCTACTTTTTTTGAAGAATAATAAAGCAATTCAATAGGGGAATCACAAGAAATTTGAACTCTAACAAAAATCTCTTGAGCCAAATTATGATCATCTGGAAAAATTGGTGATCCACACGTATATGTATAAGTTTGTAACACCAATTTTAAATCTTGTTTTTGTTGTTCTGTTAAACGGGAATTACTATAAAGGCATCGTGTTTTTCTACAAGAATTACATTTTATATATTCTCTAATTTTAGCAGAAATGAGAATATTACTTGGCGCCAGTTCAGCTTTAGATTCTAAATTGATTAAAGAAGGACGAAATTTTTCTGTTGTGGGTTTGCCATATAAATTTGCAAATGTCTCGTAATATCTATTTGAAAAATTATTCAAGTTAATAATACTTCAATTTAATAATATTTAACATTTTATATAAAAACTAATATATAAAAAATACCTCGTGATGGTATTGGATCAGGTAAAAAATGTAAGTTTTGAAAGACATCTGTTGGCATTCTAATTTGATAACAAACTTCACAGGAAGTTTGATTACATTTTTTGATCTAAAAAAATTTACAAAAACATGAATATTTATTTGAATTAAAATAATTTTACTACATTAAAGCAATTTTATTACCTGAAATGAGTATGCTCTTTCTTGACAATGAGTTTTGATAAATTCTACCAGGGGTTTGTGTTTTCGCAATTGTTGTTAAGTAGTTTCATCTTTAGTCAATGTGGAATCAATTCGCAATATATTCTTCAAAATTTAAGTAAATAAAATTATTAGAATAAAATAAAACAATAACAAAAATAAATCATTTTAAAGTATTACCTCAAACATCTCATTAATTTCCAAATCAGATGCAGGATTTTCAGTTTTGAATGCTTCATTTTTCCAAACTAAATGTTCTGTACGCTCGCGAAGCAGTTCTTGAACTGTTACAATACATTTTTCTAATTCCACCTTTAAGCATGGATTATCTTTTGCTTTTTCGCGTATATCTTCTAATGTCCTTAAAGCCTCAAATTCGTCTTCAAATTCCTCAGGCATTTTTTCTCTTTCTATAGCAACACCTTGAAGTTCATAATTAATCACGCTCATAATTCTTTCTGCAGGATTACACCAACTATGATGTGGAGCTGTCTTAACTGCGATTAACATATCAAAATTGCCTGCTAAAAATAAACATATTAAAGCTACTTGAACTGATCCAAAGGTGCATCTGTGATCGGGACCTCCATCAGTATAGAGCGACAATATTGAGGGTAAAGATTGTGTTGGATACTGACGATTCATCAGGTTAAAAAATTCTGTTGAATGCCTTAATGCACTACTCGGTTGAAAAATGGCATCTTTAAAGCAGGCATATACTTTTCCATCATAGAAAGATTCAGATATATCATTTGGAATGTTAATGAATAAAGTAATAGATGGTGTTAATGACAACTTAGTAAAGTCATGATCGGCTGCTGTAATTTCTCCTTCAGCTGGTGCCAAAGTCTTTTTATTGCGAACGCCTGTAGATACTGGTACATCCTCACCAATAGGCACTTTGTGCTTATCATCTGCCGAGATAAAACATGCATAATCTTGATATTTGATGTTAAATTCGCGTTCATACTTAAATATCGTGTGACAATAATGTTCATCTTCACTGGATTTTCGTAACAATCGGGATTGCACCTTATACTTCACATTAAAACGCCTAGTATACTGCATGGCTTTGGTAGTATATGCATTAGATAGTGCAAAATTCAATCTTATCCACTCTTCTGATGGAATAGAAACACCACTTGACAGAGGTAAGCCTTGATATTTTGTATTTAAACGAGTAATAATTCTTTCTCTCAATTCCCGAATAGATATAGTATATGGAATATATAAAACAGCATCTGTTCGGCGTTCATTAACAACTGTATTATTATGCTAAAAAAAATAAAATATTAAATTTATTATAAGAAATTAAGAATTTTTAATTAATACAAATTAATACCTCGTTAAAATATCCATCAAGTTCATCCCAAAATATATCAAATTTTGACCCTCGAAATCCATTATTAGTCCTAAGATCAATTATTATAGAAGGATCTTCCAATAACATCATAAGACGTAATCTTTCTTCTATCTCTTTACTTATTTGATCATTTGATAATGAAGCATCACCAGTTAAATCGTGATACAACATTCTAAGCACCGGTTTTGAAAGATTGCGAATTAGGGAGTACTATAAACAAAACTTTAATGAGATTTTTAATTAAAAAAAATATATACAATACAAATAATGTTCACAACTTGCCTTTTGAAGCACATTTTTCCTCATTTGTCTTGTACAATATATTGGTATTATGTCATTTATACGAGTAATCATCTGTGCTTTAAGAGTTTCATAATATTCACTTGTTTCTTCAGTATCAGGTGCTTTCCATATAAAATTAAGTGTTCCAAGATAATTACCATGAGGATATCTAAATAAATAATTTTATAGATTAAAATGCTTTTGTAATCATGTGCGTTAACGCGTAATTGCATGCTTTTAAAATTTTCAAATATAAAACAAGAATCTTACCTGTATAATCCCGTAGAGACAGATCACTGGTCGAAATCAAAAAAATCGGACATATGGAAAATCGGCCAAAAATCAGACCAAAATTGACTAACATTATAAATCTGCACATCTGATTGATGCCAATCAGACAATTTGATAAAAATTCAGCAAAAAATCATTATATTTGATTGACGGCTGATTGATGCTGGTTGAAATTAAAAAAAAAAATCTGACAAAATGGCAAATCAACCTAAAATTTACCCAATATTCAAATATGTACTTCAGATTTATGGAAAATTGACAATTCAATAAAAATTCAATAAAAATCCAACAAAAATTTGTTAAAAAATCATTATATTTGATTGACGGCTGATTGATATCAAAAAAAAAATCTGACAAATTTGTAAATCAACCTAAAATTTACAATATTCAAATATGTACTTCAGATTTATGGAAAATTAACAATTCAATAAAAATTCAATAAAAATTTAGCAAAAAATTATCATATTTGATTAACAGCTTAAAATTTGCCTAATATTGTCTGATTTATGGCACTTTTATATCAAATTG